ACTGCAAGCTATGAACAGAGTCAACCTTGCCAATGCCCACTGGGGCAAGTAAGTTACTATCCTTATTTTGTAGCACAGGCAAAGGAAGCCCAATTACTGAAGAGCCCAGGACCAAACCCAGGCTCAACTGGCTGCACAGTTCAGATCCACTATGCACCCTTCCAACTGCACGGAGGGAGCTGTGTCTTCAGGTCACAGAGGACATTTGCTTAGCAGACACGATGGGTACCAAGGAGTTTAAAAAACACAAAGGCAGCAGAGCTAATAGGACGACACCAGGAAATTTTGCTCCCATGAAAATCACCTCACCAGGAGATAGTGCCACAATATGCAGGCTGCCTTGATCCAAAGACACCTCCCACTGGGCTTTTCTGTGTGTACTTAATATTCTGAATGACATCTGGCCTCAGGAAACAGAAGCCACAGGGCAGTTAACTTAAAGAAGGAGCAGCTCACCTTTGAGAGAGAGCATCCTGGACCTTTCAGAGGTCCAGGCTGGGCGCCTAGGTCAGGAACAGCACCTGCTCGGGGCCAGCGGCCGCCCTCCTCCTCCATGCAGCCTCCACCTTCAGCCCATCATGTAAACACCCCCAACATGCAGGAGAAGGAGGGAGAATGTCAGTGGGCAAAAGTGGAATCAGCCCTCTTTGCCTTATTTGATCTTACTTCATGGTGCTAGGGATGAATCCTTTGGCTGTCAGCATAAAGACAGGTGGTCTACTGCCAAGCTGCACCTCTAGCCCACTCCCACTTTAATCAGGAAACACAAGCTGTACAGAAAGTCCTAACCATGCAGTGACTTCTAACTTCTGTTAGCCAGAACTGTGTCACAGGGCCACTGCTCAGTGCGAGGGACTCGCAAGGGTCAGCCCGAACAAAACTGGGATTCATGAAGGAAGAAGAGCATGCGTTAGGCAGGCAGCGGTGTCAGTCATAGCACGGGAGGCATGGAAACAGTACCACAGCAGACTCCAAGCGCTCAGGCAGTCAAGACGCCTCAACCAAACAGGAAGTGTGCTCGTGCCAAAGAGATATAAGACTATGGATCTGATCCAAAGGCGAGATCCTTGAGGTTCCCTGTGACACGCAGAATAAAGATAACATCTTTGTGAGTTTAAGTCTCATTATTCATATGCAACAGGATGCAGTTCGCTTCTCTGGGCATCCACCCGACACAAAAAGTCAAAGCATTACCAAGGACCTTAATAAACAGTAATCACAATGGCACTGTGACTGAAGCATAGAACTGGATAACGGCCCATGTGTCAATAAAATTAAACAGGCATGAAGGCATTTCTAGATGTAGTATAATACCTTATAAAAAGCATTTCATAATATGTGCAGATTGAAAAAGGATCCCCATTCTGACATTAAATTCATAGCACTTAATAAATTACTCTTAGTTGCCTCCATGTGGAGCCACAAAACCCACATCTTTGACTGTAAGATCCATCAAAATGATTAAGCAGTGAAATTCTGCATGTCTTTCTTATCAAATACAGAAAGTCCAAGAAGAGATGCAGGCTCCATGGTACATTTTCAACTCCAAAGTTTATCAGACACCAAATGCAATTTTTGTGACATTCAGTTAGTTGAAAGGAGCTTATATAATGCGCAAATTTTGTATTTTCATTGGAATGATTCATTTTTTTAAGTTCCTGTAAGTATATTCTGTATCATCGTACAGGTATGTTACTTTACTGTCCCAGTTTGCTTATAAATAGGAAGTCGCCAAGAAATGATACGCTCACCGTCTCCACTTCATGATAGACCTCATGCATAGGTCATGCAGCCACGTAACGGGCAGACCAGAGACCACACATGAATAGTCAACAGCACTGCAGAACCACTGAGGAAAGTGACAGGCAAATGCAGTCAGCACTTAGCCCGGAGAGGCAAACACACTTCAATAAACCTGCCATGTAGCAGCCACCACCATATTTGTGATTTGTGTAAGAGTTCAGACTCTTAAAAAAGTATTATTGGCCACATTAAATTAATGCTGTTCATTTGAATGTAATGGCTTTGCCATTTTGTTTGTCTTTAATTTTGTGAAGATGTTTGGTTTTATAGTTGTATAATGGTTATAAACAGAAGGAGTTTAGTAGTATTTTATTTTTATACATATTTAAGTAATGTTATAATCAAAACAATTTAAACTGCTACTGCAGTATCAAGAGATTTTCTTTCCTTGTTAAAAAAAAAAAAAAAAAGAGTTCCTACACTGCTTAGGTCTAAGTAACACTTTTCTATAGCTTTCTCACAGACAGGAGGAGACAACAGAGGTGATGTCATTTGTTTTCCAAGCCAAGTTCAAATTCAACATTAGGTAAGTAAAGAAGTAATTTATAGGTGCAGAAATTCCCAAGTTTTTAATTAGTATCATCATTCACTGTTTAATATATATCTTATTCTTGACAAAAATAGTAATTAAAAAACTAAATTTACATTTCTATAATCTATATATATATATATATATATATATATATATATGTATATATCTGGATAAGGTTGACACAGGCTCTTGAATACAACAGCGTGTGAGGCATGGTTCTGAATTATTTTCTCCTTGGTGTGACGTGCCGTGAGTGACATCTCCCTGGGGTGTTCTGCTGAGCGCATGTTGATGGAAACGAGTCAGGAGGCTGTTTCAGTTTGGGGTTATCTCAGCACAGAGAAGAGACTCTACAGGGTGCTGAACCAGGGAAGCTTCAGCCCAGAGCACAGAGTTCTAAGCCTAGAAACACTACAAGGAAATCAGCAGAGTCCTTGATGAAATTTAGACTCTTGTAAACACTGGGCTTAAAGTAGTCATTTATGGTGATTAAGACAGAAGGATCCTTTCTGACTCTTGCTCTGGTCAGACGAGACTTCTGAGCTAGATGAGTAACTGCTACAGGCGCACCCATGATTTTTAGATTTTGAGATAGATGTGCAATACGCAGGATGATGAGTACTTTGATCAAGGAACAATAAATACTATGTCAACTACTTTGTTTAAGCTCCTCCAAAAGTTACTGACTGGTAACGTCAACATGTCTGATGTCCTTTCTCCCAAGAAAACACTTTCAGGGGGACATTCACGGCCTTCAGATGCAGTTTGACCTTGTACAAGCAGCTTCCACAAGTGCAGCAGAAACCAAGCAAAAAGCTTTTAAAGAAAATGTCACTGTCACTAATAAAAACTTCATTCTTTTCAGTCCTGATGTATCTGTGTTGTTAAAAAGCACAAGAGTTCCCAGGATCCCACCAAAGGATTTAAATAAACCATAAGCCTCCAGTATTAACTGAATCACTAATTATAGTCAAGATCAAATAGATTTTTTTGAAGATAATGAAGAAAATATATAACACAACAAGAAAAGGAGATGGAATAATATTCTGACCAGAGTATCACCTTAAGATCTGCTTCTTCATCTGCTGGGTTTTGCTTCTTCCACTTGCTATTTTTAAAAATACTTCCAAGTTTACTTGAGGGTTAACTGCTGGATCTGCAAACCTCTAATAAAAATAGCTGGAAGTGCGGAACTAAAATATAGGCTCCATGCAAAACTGTAGCGACTGAGTAAGACATTAATGTCATGATGATAATCCCAGGATATCTCTTGCCTTGTAAATGTTCTTAAACATTCAGACCAGCAGTGCCAACATCAAACCTGGGAATTTATAAGAAATGCAAAATCTTGGCCTTTCATCCCAACTTACAAAATCAAAGTTCTAGAGGATGATCAATCAATCAGTGTTGCAAGAATTCCTTCACACAACCCTGATGCATGAAAGCCTAAAAACCACTGGTTTTAACAGAACCACTTGTAATGCAACAAAGCCTAAATCCTACAGACAGGCACAATGAAAACAAGATTATTGCACTACTCATAGCAATATCATACATGTGTTTGATATAAAAAACAATGAATATAATTTACTTCATGAGCTAAATTCCATATATTGCTTAAATATACAGATGGAAGGGTGGGAAAAGATTAGTTTGAAACTGTTTTTGAGTTGGGCATGGTAGCACAGGCCTTTAATACCAGCCTGGGGAGGCTGATGCAGGAGAACTGCTGAGTTCAAGATCAGTCTAGGCTACATAGTAAGTTCAAGCCCATCCTAAACCACATAGCAAAAACTTCTCTCAAAAAGCGGATTAAAATTTGAAATACTTGTATAGCCATTTGAAATCAATACAGAGCCAACAGTACATAGTCGTCAATAAGTACACAGCTAATAAATATAATGGCATACAGTTACCTTTTCTTTCTTCTTGAGGCAGGGTTTCATTATGCAGTTGAGGGTTCATTATGGACTCATTGTGCAGCCAAAGCTGGCCTCAACTCAGCAATCCTCCTGCCTCAGCCTCTCAGGTGCTGGGATTATAGGCATAATTATAGGTACCACCACACCCAGCCGGAGTCATTTAAATTTTAAATAAACTTAAAAATTTTAAAAAACACAGTCATTAACATATAGTTAACATGATACTCCTACATGGTATATTGACAAACATAATTCACTGCTGTGTCCTGTGGCTGCTAATAAGTCATTAGAAGACTGCCTGTACTGTACTTCTAATTTACTAATTCTTTCATAATATAGAATTATGCCACCCAAAAAGGGGTCCTTTCTAAATCAGCGTTGAAATAAACCATATCATTCTCCATCTATCTCATGACCCCAACTACCAACGAAGCAAATACTGCTCAAGCAGAAGAGCCATAATTTCCAGTCCACTTTGTATTCTAGTTTTCTGGTCCACAACCATTTGCAGATTAGGATGAAATATGCTGGAATCATTAGAAAAACTATCAAAACCATGTGCTGCTCTTTCCATGAGGCTCTGATTTGTATAAATTCAATACTTTTAGTCACAACAGCTTTTTAAAGGCTATTAGTAACAGGTGGTTCAGGCGTGAGGCTCTGAAGAACATCTACAGTCTTCTCTGTCAAGAAGCTAGAGAAAAGAGAATTCAGAAACAACACTGTGACTGCTCCGAGCCTACCTGTCCACAGGCGAAGCTTTGGAATTCCGAGGCTTTTTCACTTGTGCATACAGAGCATCCATCACATGCCCCTCTCGGGGACTTTGTGGCCTGGCGCTGAGAGCCAGGGGCCCTTCGTAGGATGACATTCCCCCGTACATTAGCTCATCCTCACAGCCGAACGTCCGATGGCAATCTTGGATTTCAGCGTAGTCACGCTCCCGGGCTTGTCGCTCCCTGAATTCTCGAGTTTTGGCTTGGATCCTGTAAGATTAGAAAAAAAAATGAGACAAAGAAACTTCTCCCTTTCTAAAAAGTGCATCCAGCAACATTCGTTACAATATGTTATTAAGTATATTCTGACCCCACAGTTATGGGAAGATCAGCGGCACAGATGCTGGTCCTACATTCCTAGACTGTCAAGCGACGCTAGGAGTACTCACTACTAGTCACTTCAGTGCCTTCACAGCACATTAATAACACGGTCTATACTATGAATCTTAAGTTTAACTTTTAACCTACTATCATTAAAAGTTCTGAAATAAGACTTGCCTGCATTATAACTGAGATCTTAGGAGGCCATTTTCCAAAAGATAGCTCACTAAGATTTTATTAAACTACCTGATACACAGTGCTCCTCTATTTAAAATACATTGGTATAATTTATGCAGTGCCAATGTGAGTTACCTATAAATAATTAACTCTTGGTAGAATTTTGATGACTCTTTAATACAAAATCTATTTTAATTATATACCTAAAATTGAAATGTTTACCTAAAAGCAGTAAAGTCTTAGCGAAGATGTGAAGAAAAGGGAACACTTGGGCTCGGGAGATAGCTCAGGGGAATAAGTGCTTGCCTGGCAAGCACAAGGTCCTGAGATCAATCCCTGGTACAGAGAGAGAGAGAGAGAGAGAGAGAGAGAGAGAGAGAGAGAGAGAGAGAAACACTTGGGTGCTGTTGTTGGGAATGTGAGTTTGCACAGCCATTATAGGAAATGCCACACTGAGTCCTCAAAGACTAAGAACAGAACATATGACCCAGCTATCTTACTATGGGGTCCGTGGCCAAAAGAAATCGGTATGTCGAAGTGATATCTATGTTTGTTACAGCACTATTCGCCACAGCCAATGCATGGAATTAACCTTGGTGCACCCAACAATGAGTGAATTCATGAAGAAAATGTCCATATGCCCAGCAGGATGCTTAGCCCCCCACAAAAAAGAAATTCTCTCATTTGTAATGCCATGAGTGAACTTGGAGGGCATTATGCTAAGTGAAATAAGAAGACATAGAAAGATATATGACAAAATCACACACACGCACAGAATTGACAAACTGGTCTTACAGAAGCACTAAATTAAACAATGGTCACCCAAAAGTGGGCAAAGGAAGGTAAGAGGGACAGAAGAGTTCAGGCAGTCAGCTTTCTAGTTTAATCAGAAAGGAACAACAGTTTCTGGTGTTCTCTTGCACAGTAAGGTAACTAACACTAACAAGAAGGTTGTGTGTACTGCAAATTGACAAGCAGAGAAGGTTTTGAAAGTTCCCCTCATAAAAGAATGACAAATATTTGAGGACGGGCATAGCTACTCTGATTTGATCATTATATAACATATACTAGGATCAAAATATCACACTCTACCCCATAAATAAATACAATCACTATAGATTAGTCAAAGTTTTAAAAAGCAATTATTTTCATTTTTGAGGTATAATTCTAGCTCAATGAACCAAGTTCCTGCTTAGGGAAGCACAGGGACCAGGGTTCAATCCCCAGTACTCCATGCCATGCCAGCCCCACCCACAGGTGTGCGGAGCCGGCCACCAAGACTGTGTGCTGGCACATGCCTATAATCCCAGTGCTGGGTAGACTGAAAATAGGAGGATCATAATGAGTCCAGTCTGCATAGTGAGATCCTGCACCTAATACTGAAGAAAAAAAAAAAAAAAAAAGAATTGTGGTATATGTCTCTGAGCATAAATGCCACCTAAATAAATGTTTATCAGAACCTAGAAAATACCAAGTCCAGATGAAAAAATTCCTGTCCCCCTAGAGATGAAAGCAATAGGTCTTAACAAAATGTCAACCTATAGAGTCTAACAACATACACAACAATTTATACCATGTTCAAATGATATAACTGCAAGAACCATATTAACAGGATAAGACAGCACAGTCTTATTCTATCAATTGATATAGAAGAATATTTGACCAATTAAATACCTACCATGACCAAACAAACAAACAGAAAGTCCTCAGAAAATGAGGAAGAGTAAGATCTGCTGAACTTCAAAGGAGCATCTACCCACATCCTCAGCTTCCATCCTACACAGAGGAAGACTGCAGGCTCCCCTCGGGCCAGGAGTGCGGGAAGGATTTGCTCCCCCTGCTGTGCACCCACACAGTGCTGGACTGTCTCCACAATGCAAGAAGCCAGCCAGTGAAACAAAAGCCACACAGAACAGAGAGGAAGAAACAAGGTCCCCTTATTTGTAGAAGACGTGAGGGTCCACACAGAAAATCTCAAGGAAACTACAAAAATCTAGAACTAAGAAGCAAACTCAGCAAGGTGCCAATACAAGATCAACATACAAAAATCTAATTGTTTTGATACAAGGCCTCACTGCATAGTTGATTGGCCTTGAGCTCACTATGTAGCCCAGGCTGGCCTTAAAACTCACAGCAATCCTTCTACCTCACGCACCCAAGAGCTGGGATTACAAGCATGTGCCACCATACCTGGCTAAGGAACTCATGACACTAAAATTAAAATTACAATGCCATTTATAGTTATTAAAAATACATAAATGTAAAGATTCATTTTTAGATATGCATAAAAAGACACAAAGGTCAATCTAACAAAACAAGTGGTATTTGTGTGCTGAAAACTATAGAATGCAGGTGAAAACAAAAAATAAACTACCTCAGATTCAGAGACACTGGGATCAAAGGTGAAAATTCTCGTGGCAAGTCATCTGGGATCAAAGGTGAAAATTCACGTGGCAAGTCATCCTCCCCAGACTGGCATACAGGTTTTAATGAAAATCCTATAATAATCCCAGCAAGATTTTTTAGATACTGACAAGATTATTTTAAAATTTATTCCTGCCTGGGGAGTGTAGCTCAGTGATAGAGCACGTGCTTAGCATGCGTAAGGTCCTGGTTCTGACACTCCATATCACAAAAACAAAAATAAAAAGACAAAGAAAAACTCAATAAATAAAATTTATACAGAAGGAAGAAAAAAAAAAAAAAAAACCCTGTGAAAAAGAACAATGAAATGGGAAGAATGAAACTTCCAGACTGTGAGATTTGTAACACCACTACAGTAACTAGCATGTGCGGTATTCAGGAGGAGACAGACACTCAGACCAAAGGAAGATGAAGAGACAGCCGACACGCTGGCTGGCTGAGTCCTCACAATGGTACAAAAGCAGGCCAATGGAATAAAATAGATTTTTCAACAAATGGTGCTGGAATAATTGGATATCCGTAGGCCAAAAAAGAACTTAAATTGCACATCTTAAATAAAAATTAACCCAAAATGGCCATAGATTTAAATGAAGAATGTAACGCTATAAAACTTTAGAAGGAAACACAGATGAGTATCTCGAGAACCTAGTGCTTGGTGGAGAGTTCTGAGGCACGGCAACAGCAGTGCCATCCATGAAACAAAAGATTCCGAAGAAAACCTAATGACATCACAATTGCTAACTCTTTCCTCCATGAAAGATTCTACTGAGAAGATGAAAAGACAAGTACCAACTGGACAAATATCTGCAAACCACTAAACTGACAAAGGACCGATATCCAAAACACATTTAAAATAATTCAAAACTCAACAAGCAAACAGTCTAATTAGAAAATGAGGAAAAAATATGAAGAAGCATTTCAGAAGGACAATATGTCCACGACATGTAAGTACACAAAAAGCTGGCGGACACTACCTGCCAATAGGGACATCTCATTCAGACCAGAAAGAGCTGTCCCTACATACCTATTAGAGCAGCTCAAGTAAAAAGTGGTCAGAGAACCAAATGCAGACACGAAGCAAAGAAACTGGGTCTCTCCTACACTGCCGTTGGCAATGGAGAACAGTACAGCAATCTGGCAGTTCCTTTAAAAAAGCTCACCGAGCACTCCACATGCTACCAGCAACTGTACTTCTAAGTACTCATCCCAAAGAAATAAAACTTACGTCCATGCAAAAGTCTGCTCTCAATGGTTCATAGCCACTTCTCCCTCCACAAAACTGGAAATAACCACAATATCCTACACCAGCTGAGTGGATAAGCAAACTGGAATGTGGCCGCATCATGCGCTGCTGCTGACAGAACAAGTGAAGATACTGCCGGCCCACAACGTGCGGAAACGTTACTGATAACAGGATGTGACCTGAAGAAGCTGTTAGTCTCAAAGGCTTGGACCAGGACTCCCTCACATACCCTTCTCCAAATGGCAGAAGCAGAGATCAGCAGCGGTGGGGGCAGAGGAGTCGGAGGGAAATCCACCGGGTGGAACAGTTGCTCACTCGCTGCAGGGCCGGCTACACGATCTACATGGGTGACTACAGGCGAAAGACAGCACACACACACGGCACACCTTCAGTCTCCTGGCTTTGCTAGCACACTACGGTTCCCTCAGCTGTACCACTAGGGAACCCGGAGGAAGTGTACACGAGGCCTCCCCGTGCTAGCTGTGCAACTTCCTGCGAATCTAACGTCATTTCCAAATACAAAAATGGGCCACATGCTGTCACAAACAGAACTGACATTTTTTGCCTCACTTCTTTCCTACATCTAGCTTATCAGCCCTACTCCAGGCTTTTTTCCAATACTAGACCCAAAGAGTCAAAGTTTTCTAGCTTTTTTTTGTAGCTATCAAATAGAAATGCTTAACTAGCTCAGCAGCACCCAGCAAGAAGAGGCCATTTGTGACATGGTAGTAGAACAGCTGCTCTCAACCACACGTAACCAGGCACCACCCCCCAGCAATGGGAATATTTTTCCAAGCCTCCACAACTTCCTGGGAGGGCCTTACTTCCTAGCTGATAACCCACAGCTTTCTAATGCAAACAGAATACTGGAAAGTCAGACATTTTCATCGCAGGAGTCCTAGGTAGTAATAAAGGGAAGTCCTTACAATGGAACATCTATAAGAGAAATGGCGAATTAAATTTTAATGTCAAATTTAGCTAAAATTATCATAGATTTTATTATACCCCACTTATCCACTTAAGGGCAATTATGACAGTCAAAGGT